CGAGGAGGAGGCTCCGGACGCTGCTCAGGAACCGGGGACCCGGGAGTGCCCGCGCCCTGAGCGCTCAGCTCCGGAGGCGGTGAGAAGGGCGGAGAGGAGACGTGTCGCGGGGTGGGGGAAGATTTGGGGTCTGGGCTTGGAGGGGCGACGACGATCCCGGACACCAGGGCCAGACGGGGGAGCGTGGAGACCCCGGACGGGTCCACTCTGTGTCAGGCCGCACGGGGTCTGTCTCTGTCGGTGCGTCCCGAGCGCCTAGGGAGTGCTGGAGGCGGCGTGGCTTCGGCCGCCCATTCCACGCTGAACAGCAGTTTGGGATTCGGACCCGGGCCTGGGGATTAGGATGCAGCCTGCTTCCCGCCCAGCCGGCTCGGCCGGGCCAGCTCCCGCCCCTCTCTCCCCGCTGTGGCTTCGGACTCGCCTCCGCTGGCGGTCTCTAGGCCAAGCTGTGCCTCAGTTCTGCGGGCAGCCGGCCGCTGGCACCATGTGCCCTCATCCCCAGCCCACTGTACCTGGGGGAAGAGGTGGGATTGGCCAAAGCTTGTCCGGAGGGAAGGAGGAAGGCGCTGGGGGTGTAGAGGAGTGATGTATCTGACGTAAACCCCCTAATTAATTTCATATAACCTGTCTCAAAACTGACAGGGACACACGCACACCTATAAGAGACTTGCCAGCACACACAATGACATACACCCATGTGACTCTTACACACATCGTTTCGCACACACCAAATCACAAACGTCCCTGTACTACGCATCCAACCGCCCACCACACCTCCACTGCCTCCCATGTGGAGTCTCTTGGACTATGGACTCCAAGACATCAATCAGTCTAACAGGACAGCTTGAGTGGACAGAAGGGGCCTCTGTCCCCAAGTCCACCCTGATTTTCTGGACAGCTTTTTCCAGCCCTGGCTTCAGATCACTCTTCTTTAAAATAGTAGGAAAAGATGGGAGAGAATCTGGTTTCACTATTCTAGGACAAGGAGACAGGATCTTGAGGCTAAAGAGCCTGGCGCTCTTGGCTGGGTGAGAGAAAGGGTAGGGGCTTCTGGTAGCCTCTGTTGCTGGGTTCAGTTAGAGCTTTGGGTGCTGGGAGTGGCTAGTTTCCGGGCATCAGAGTGGCCAAGGGATGGAGGAGGGGGTGGAAGAAAAAGAATGAGTATGAGTCAGACAAGGATGGAGCCCAAGTCAGAGAGAGAGAGAATGAGAGGAATGTGTGTGAAAAGGAGACAGCATAAAGGGACAGAGAGCCAGAGAGGGACAGACATAAAGTCAAGGAACCAGGGAAAGCAAGGAAGTGAGAGACAGAGATGGTCAGAGGAGTACTGGAGAGTGGACTAATGAGGCTCAGTAGTTAGGGAGGATGAAAGCAGGATGGTGATGAGGTCACAGGGAGTTAGGGGGAACATGCTGAATGTGGTGTGCCATGTTTCTCTATGTATCTGGCCTCCAGGCTGTCAGAGCGATTAGCTTTAATTGCTCTTTCCTTTGTGGTTAAACACTCTGTTGGAGAAATTGACAGCCAGGCCCTTGGCTACTGGCTTCCCTGATTGCCTACTTCCTCACTTCTGTGACACCTGTGCCCATCATGTGCCCATGCATTATGCATGAGGAAAAGGATCACAGAATCACACAGCACATCAAATCCTCACGAACAATGTTATGATGGACATCTCCACCAGCCAGTAGGCAGGCAGCCACTGGATCTCCAGGCCTGTCCCACAAAACTTGCTCTACCTTTTACAGTAGGGATGCTCACCGCATTCATAATAGTAGCTCTCAGTATTCAGATGAGGACACTAAGTCACACAGATCCAGGAGTCCTAAGTATTTGTGGCTACCACTAAGTGGGATGGATGAATAGGAAAAGCTGGAAGGGATGAAAGCCCATCGAAAGGACAGGAGGAAAAGAGAGACTGAAAGACTAGGGAGAGAGGAAATGGATAAGGAAGAGACAGAGAGACAGGAGAGACAGACACAGAAGCTAGGAGCCACCACAACCAGATGAGTGAAGACAGATCAGCTAGGGAGAGTCACAGGCCTATCCCTCCTCACCACCTGCCAGCCCTCCTCTGCCCTGCATGTTACCGTGCCAGGTATCTCTTGATGCCCCTATCTTGGGTCTGGCCCTTCTTCTCTAAGACTAAGGGCTGAAGGCTTAGCCCCTGTCCCCATGCCCAGCAGTAACCCATTTTGCTTCTTGGGCTGAACATTTTGGGGCCCAGGTGTTCTTTCCTCTTACTCCCAGGCTGACCCTGGAGCCTCAGAACCCCTTTTCTTCATTACAGGAATAAAGATGCCCCTCCTCCCCGAAGTTGGGTAGAAGCTTAGAGAAGAAATCAATTAAGTATGATATTAAAAAGGAAATAAACTACCAGACTGCATGGATTTGGGCCCCTGATATAACTTAAAATAGGGTAGCTGAAACTCTACTCTCTCCCTTCCCACCCCTCTGCCTCTCCTTTATTTCTTCCCCCAACTCCAGGCAGCCCCCTCCTGCCTATTAAAGGGATCTCCAGGTCCTTGCAGCTGTGTCTTAAAATAGGGTAGCTGAAACTCTACTCTCTCCCTTCCCACCCCTCTGCCTCTCCTTTATTTCTTTCCCCAACTCCAGGCAGCCCCCTCCTGCCTATTAAAGGGATCTCCAGGTCCTTGCAGCTGTGTGGGATAGCCCCTCCCGTCAGCCTTAGGCAGCTGCAGCAGATGTAAGGAGGGAGGGGCAGCAGCTCCTAATCCTCAGGCTTCCTTCTCACTTCTTAAATTTACTAAGGATTTGGAACCAAATGCTAGGGATAAGGGATAATCTACAATAAATTAATGTCAAAGTGCACAGAAATTCTTTTGGTGTTGCTACCTCCTGCACAGGTGGTTATACTATTTTGCCAGGCTTCTCAAAGCACCCCAGGGTCTGCTTCTTCCTCCCCCAGTGCCCACGGAGCACCCACCTGTCATCCTCCCAATTCCTACCCTAGAAGGTCAGTATATAATGATCCTTACCTCCTTCCCCTCTTCCCCAGCATCCTCAGATGGTTTGACCTTTGTCAGGGCTCTGCCTGGGGCCGGCTTGGAAGGAGAGGGAGGAAGGAAGGAAGGTGTGAGGAAGCGGTGAACAGAGCACAGAATGAGCTGGGAGGAAAGGGGACTGACTTCCTGGCAGCCTAAGCTCCGGTTCCCGGTTCCTGCTCTGGTATCCTGTCCCAAGAATGGCCTCCGCCCAGGCTGCCTGGTGATCCCTGGGCAGCCCTCTGAACTGCTCCACAGATCAGGATTTTTCAGAGCCAGGAGGGCAGAAGACTTCTCCACAGGCCCTAAGGAATTTTGTATCTGCCATCTGGGCCCCCGCCCCATCACTCTTCCCTCCCTCCCTCCCTTTTCTGTCCTCAGATTATCAGTAGAGAGGGGGTTGGGCTCCAGAGCCTGCTGCTGTGACCTAGATTTGAAGGCGAGAGACGTTCCTGGTGCTGACAGTCAGAGAGCATTGTTCCTGGCCCAGCCTGGCAGGGCCACCGCTGGGCCCTTCTGTCTGGTTGCACCTGGGTGTGCAACTGAGAGTGCCTATGAGTGATTTAGAAACTCTTCTTCCATGTGAAAGCAAGGCAGTATTACCCTAAATTCTGTTCCCTTTTCCAGGTGAAGGCTTGGCCCCAAGATCTCCTCCACTGGGGTAGTGTCGTCTTGTCTCCTTCCTATACTGCCCTTTCCTTCCAGCTCTCACCTGCCCCCCCCCTCTTTATCCCCATCTGGGCCCCCGCCCCATCACTCTTCCCTCCCTCCCTCCCTTTTCTGTCCTCAGATTATCAGTAGAGAGGGGGTTGGGCTCCAGAGCCTGCTGCTGTGACCTAGATTTGAAGGCAGAGACGTTCCTGGTGCTGACAGTCAGAGAGCATTGTTCCTGGCCCAGCCTGGCAGGGCCACCGCTGGGCCCTTCTGTCTGGTTGCACCTGGGTGTGCAACTGAGAGTGCCTATGAGTGCCTGTGTTCTGTGGGGGTTGTGCTAGCCCTGCTGTCTGGCCAATTGTCTGTGTCATGGTGCCTGCCACCGATCAAGGCTTGTTTATTCTGGCCCAAGTAGGGGACTGGGAATGGAGACTTCTAGGTCTGCACCTCTTATTTTGTGATGGCCATCCCTCTCTGCCTCAGTTCCCCTGCAGCAGAGGCCAGACATAAGGAAAATGGGGGTGTGTCAACCAGTCCCCTCTGATCTACCACATTCCCAGACCAATGTTGTGGTGATTTGTGGGCAGCCTGTCAGAAACAAGGTGTTTTAGCTCCTTACCCACCCCTTGGTCTTGCTGTTGACTGTTTATGACATGATTTACCTTTTCTAATGCTTTACTTTTCTGATTACAAAAGTAGTAATTATTTGCTGTAGACCGTTAAGTCCCCTTTTTGAACTCACCACTACAGTTTCACATTTTATCAGATCCAGAAAGTTCATTCTAAGGTCCAACCTTGTTTCTTCCCGTCTTAGCCACAGTTCCTACTTAATGGAAGGAAGGCCCTGAATGTTCTCTACCTTCCACCTAAAGAACATGAAAGAGGGATGGTGAGAAGGCCTAGATGAGATATGGCCTTGCCCAGCACCGTGGGAGGCCATGCTGAAGCTAGTGCCAGCAGGATATTGATGCAAGAAGAGGTGGCAGCCCCCTTCCTGCCTGACTCTCCCAAAGCCACATCTAAACTCCCCTCCCCCCACCACCCAGCCAGCCTGGGAACTGGGCAAGGAGCCAGAGCCAGCCGCTTGGTATTCTTGGGCGTGGGGGCTGCAGGCACAGCACAAAGGCTAGGAGAGAGGGCTTAGTAGGGGCCTGGTAACCACCAAGAGAGAAAATGGCTCCATAAAGGTGGGGGTGGCCCATTGCTTCCCCCAACCCCTAGCCCTAATGACTGAATACAAGGCTAAGCATGGCGGAGGGGCNCGAGGAGGAGGCTCCGGACGCTGCTCAGGAACCGGGGACCCGGGAGTGCCCGCGCCCTGAGCGCTCAGCTCCGGAGGCGGTGAGAAGGGCGGAGAGGAGACGTGTCGCGGGGTGGGGGAAGATTTGGGGTCTGGGCTTGGAGGGGCGACGACGATCCCGGACACCAGGGCCAGACGGGGGAGCGTGGAGACCCCGGACGGGTCCACTCTGTGTCAGGCCGCACGGGGTCTGTCTCTGTCGGTGCGTCCCGAGCGCCTAGGGAGTGCTGGAGGCGGCGTGGCTTCGGCCGCCCATTCCACGCTGAACAGCAGTTTGGGATTCGGACCCGGGCCTGGGGATTAGGATGCAGCCTGCTTCCCGCCCAGCCGGCTCGGCCGGGCCAGCTCCCGCCCCTCTCTCCCCGCTGTGGCTTCGGACTCGCCTCCGCTGGCGGTCTCTAGGCCAAGCTGTGCCTCAGTTCTGCGGGCAGCCGGCCGCTGGCACCATGTGCCCTCATCCCCAGCCCACTGTACCTGGGGGAAGAGGTGGGATTGGCCAAAGCTTGTCCGGAGGGAAGGAGGAAGGCGCTGGGGGTGTAGAGGAGTGATGTATCTGACGTAAACCCCCTAATTAATTTCATATAACCTGTCTCAAAACTGACAGGGACACACGCACACCTATAAGAGACTTGCCAGCACACACAATGACATACACCCATGTGACTCTTACACACATCGTTTCGCACACACCAAATCACAAACGTCCCTGTACTACGCATCCAACCGCCCACCACACCTCCACTGCCTCCCATGTGGAGTCTCTTGGACTATGGACTCCAAGACATCAATCAGTCTAACAGGACAGCTTGAGTGGACAGAAGGGGCCTCTGTCCCCAAGTCCACCCTGATTTTCTGGACAGCTTTTTCCAGCCCTGGCTTCAGATCACTCTTCTTTAAAATAGTAGGAAAAGATGGGAGAGAATCTGGTTTCACTATTCTAGGACAAGGAGACAGGATCTTGAGGCTAAAGAGCCTGGCGCTCTTGGCTGGGTGAGAGAAAGGGTAGGGGCTTCTGGTAGCCTCTGTTGCTGGGTTCAGTTAGAGCTTTGGGTGCTGGGAGTGGCTAGTTTCCGGGCATCAGAGTGGCCAAGGGATGGAGGAGGGGGTGGAAGAAAAAGAATGAGTATGAGTCAGACAAGGATGGAGCCCAAGTCAGAGAGAGAGAGAATGAGAGGAATGTGTGTGAAAAGGAGACAGCATAAAGGGACAGAGAGCCAGAGAGGGACAGACATAAAGTCAAGGAACCAGGGAAAGCAAGGAAGTGAGAGACAGAGATGGTCAGAGGAGTACTGGAGAGTGGACTAATGAGGCTCAGTAGTTAGGGAGGATGAAAGCAGGATGGTGATGAGGTCACAGGGAGTTAGGGGGAACATGCTGAATGTGGTGTGCCATGTTTCTCTATGTATCTGGCCTCCAGGCTGTCAGAGCGATTAGCTTTAATTGCTCTTTCCTTTGTGGTTAAACACTCTGTTGGAGAAATTGACAGCCAGGCCCTTGGCTACTGGCTTCCCTGATTGCCTACTTCCTCACTTCTGTGACACCTGTGCCCATCATGTGCCCATGCATTATGCATGAGGAAAAGGATCACAGAATCACACAGCACATCAAATCCTCACGAACAATGTTATGATGGACATCTCCACCAGCCAGTAGGCAGGCAGCCACTGGATCTCCAGGCCTGTCCCACAAAACTTGCTCTACCTTTTACAGTAGGGATGCTCACCGCATTCATAATAGTAGCTCTCAGTATTCAGATGAGGACACTAAGTCACACAGATCCAGGAGTCCTAAGTATTTGTGGCTACCACTAAGTGGGATGGATGAATAGGAAAAGCTGGAAGGGATGAAAGCCCATCGAAAGGACAGGAGGAAAAGAGAGACTGAAAGACTAGGGAGAGAGGAAATGGATAAGGAAGAGACAGAGAGACAGGAGAGACAGACACAGAAGCTAGGAGCCACCACAACCAGATGAGTGAAGACAGATCAGCTAGGGAGAGTCACAGGCCTATCCCTCCTCACCACCTGCCAGCCCTCCTCTGCCCTGCATGTTACCGTGCCAGGTATCTCTTGATGCCCCTATCTTGGGTCTGGCCCTTCTTCTCTAAGACTAAGGGCTGAAGGCTTAGCCCCTGTCCCCATGCCCAGCAGTAACCCATTTTGCTTCTTGGGCTGAACATTTTGGGGCCCAGGTGTTCTTTCCTCTTACTCCCAGGCTGACCCTGGAGCCTCAGAACCCCTTTTCTTCATTACAGGAATAAAGATGCCCCTCCTCCCCGAAGTTGGGTAGAAGCTTAGAGAAGAAATCAATTAAGTATGATATTAAAAAGGAAATAAACTACCAGACTGCATGGATTTGGGCCCCTGATATAATTTAAAATAGGGTAGCTGAAACTCTACTCTCTCCCTTCCCACCCCTCTGCCTCTCCTTTATTTCTTCCCCCAACTCCAGGCAGCCCCCTCCTGCCTATTAAAGGGATCTCCAGGTCCTTGCAGCTGTGTGGGATAGCCCCTCCCGTCAGCCTTAGGCAGCTGCAGCAGATGTAAGGAGGGAGGGGCAGCAGCTCCTAATCCTCAGGCTTCCTTCTCACTTCTTAAATTTACTAAGGATTTGGAACCAAATGCTAGGGATAAGGGATAATCTACAATAAATTAATGTCAAAGTGCACAGAAATTCTTTTGGTGTTGCTACCTCCTGCACAGGTGGTTATACTATTTTGCCAGGCTTCTCAAAGCACCCCAGGGTCTGCTTCTTCCTCCCCCAGTGCCCACGGAGCACCCACCTGTCATCCTCCCAATTCCTACCCTAGAAGGTCAGTATATAATGATCCTTACCTCCTTCCCCTCTTCCCCAGCATCCTCAGATGGTTTGACCTTTGTCAGGGCTCTGCCTGGGGCCGGCTTGGAAGGAGAGGGAGGAAGGAAGGAAGGTGTGAGGAAGCGGTGAACAGAGCACAGAATGAGCTGGGAGGAAAGGGGACTGACTTCCTGGCAGCCTAAGCTCCGGTTCCCGGTTCCTGCTCTGGTATCCTGTCCCAAGAATGGCCTCCGCCCAGGCTGCCTGGTGATCCCTGGGCAGCCCTCTGAACTGCTCCACAGATCAGGATTTTTCAGAGCCAGGAGGGCAGAAGACTTCTCCACAGGCCCTAAGGAATTTTGTATCTGTGGTGAGGAAAGTGACATGCAGGATGAAGGAGTCAAGCTCTGCCAAGCCCTACCATTGGCTAGATCAGCCCAGGGACAATAGTTGAGACTTGAGAGCCATGTCAGTAAGACTTATGAGCCACGAAAGGGGAGTCTACCTCCCCATGCCCTGTAAATTCCCCCAAAGTATCCTGCCCTTGCCCCTGATGCCACACCCAGACCTGGGCAAATGAGATCTCTCCAGGGAGGCAGGCAACCAGGCTGCTTTTCCTTGCTCCCTCAGGGGACCTTAAATCTATCTTTTCTGTCCCTTCTTACCACTCCCCATACCCCTCCCATCCAGTGGTGTCATTGTCCTCCTGATGGGGGGCGGGGGGGGACACAGGACACAGAACTAAGGTTACTATGGTAACAGCTAAGCTAAGGCTACAGCCTTCTTGTGGACTGTGTGCTCCCCCCTCCCCCCCACGCCACCAGGATTCTTCATTTGCAGCCTCAGTCTCTTCCCTCTCTCAACCCCAGCTCTCTTCCTTCATTCTGTAGGTTCCCCACACCCTTCTGGTGTAAGCCTGTGGTTATATGCCTTCTTACACTTACTCTTGAATGGTTCAGACACATACAAACACACACAGACACACGTAACACATACAGTCACAGCCAGTGTACCCACAGCCACACATCCAATGTTGGTATATACATGTCTATTACGGGAACATCCAAACAAACAGAGTCCAGCCACTGCCTCCTCCACACACCAGTATCTACAGCCAGGAATCAGCATCCATAGGATCCTGGCCATCCATTCCAACCCTTCCACTTTAACATTCCCACCCCCATTTCTCTTAGGGGCCTTCATGTATCTGTTTCACTCTCAGAAAGCTCTTACCCCTTGCCCCCAGCCTTTGTGGGTGAGTGTGTTACACACATTAATCCCTTCCCACCCACCTACCCTGTAGGTCTGTGTTTTAGATTCAGAGCCCTAAATCTTAACTCCTCCTAAGATACACACACACACACACACACACACACACACACACTCACTCACTCTCCTCCCACAGGATCTCTCGTATTTAGAAACTCTTCTTCCATGTGAAAGCAAGGCAGTATTACCCTAAATTCTGTTCCCTTTTCCAGGTGAAGGCTTGGCCCCAAGATCTCCTCCACTGGGGTAGTGTCGTCTTGTCTCCTTCCTATACTGCCCTTTCCTTCCAGCTCTCACCTGCCCCCCCCCTCTTTATCCCCATCTGGGCCCCCGCCCCA